TTCTTGCCAGTTGAAGGGTTTGGGGGATGCGGCATTACTACGGTCTCTAGGTTACGTTAAATTATCTGAAATTAGGTTCTTTCTATGTGGAATGATGTTGCGTTGAAGCACATTGAAGCACCATCAGGAATTGCTTGACGGATCGATGTTGTCGTGTTAAATAGTAGTTGTTAAGGAATGCGTGTTTCTCTTATTCCTGACCTTGTATGCATCTACAGAACTGGAATGATTATGAGCACTAAATTACTCTGTATAGTTCGTCCTTTATGCAACTTGAAGTTATTCTTTATTTCTCTGTCTCTCCCTATACGAAACATAAAGTTAAGTCGTTACCTTCCCACCTCATAAACTCGCCTGAATTTCCTTACATAAAGAACCTAACTTTCAGCAAGCGATATGAAAACCCCTTTAGTGAAGAGAATAAAAATAAAAAAGACGAAACAAAAAAAACTGAGCAAAAGTTCCTTCTCGAATTTGTCAAACTGAGTCTATATAACATTCCGAAATGGCCTTTGTTTGCTAATTTCAACTCCCTGAAGTTCGCCGAGTGCCGGGGTGGTTCCTGTCGTATCGATACCCTGTGTTCTCTCTTCTCCTGTGCTAAGAGGCCCATAAAACGTCGATGAAGTAGAGGAAATCCCATCGTCTCAAGGGTGACAAGCGCCGTCTTAACCCGTCTTGGCGAAGGGAAAAGGGGGGGGAGGGGTATGTTTTATGCTGGAAACTTACGGTACTACTCGTGTCGGTTCAAAAAAAAAAAATGATATACGAACAGAGGAGATAACTTCGATTCGATGAAGATAGACTATTTTTATTGAGGAAATAATGGAGAGTTACTTTATCAGCCTTTCGAACTGAAATTGCAACGAGAAGGAACATTACACGGGCATAACCATAATAAGATAACTGACACCCATAATTCCATACCATAATTATCTGAAACCAGCCTATTAAAGTGACCCACAATTTCTCGAAGGGACTACTACAGTAATATCCTACAACGCTATCCCTCCTGTGATATATCCAGCAATACATAAAAAGCCCAGGATTGCCACAAGCCTTAGAGAGAGGGGCCTTAGTGTGGCGTAGCAGAGGGTTCACAGGAGACCAAAGGGGGGGGGCCCAGTACGTACGTGGGTTGCATTGTTCAGCCCGCGAGGGAGCAACAACTCAAAGTACAGAGGAGACGAGAGGCGACAGTAGGGTAGAAAATTGGGATTTGGGTGGATTTCACGAGAGCTGAAGGATATCGGGGGGGGAGGGGGGGGATTAGTGGTCAAAAAACGATAGGTAATTATCAGAAAGCACGATTAGGAGGATTAATATAAGCAATTTCTTTAGGGGGGATAAAGACTAAGACAGAGATCAGAATAAATTATCAGAGAACGAAAAGTAACGAAATTTAGAGTATTCCCATCAAAAACAAAACAAAAAAAAACAAAAAAGAAATCATGAGAATGAGGAAAATAACTCGATAGTTTCCCATCCCTTGTAACGAGCACTCATTTTACGAAATCATTATGACGCTACATTTTGCTCATCCTGATAACACACTTTGATGCGTATATCAAAATTATGGCGGTGAAGTTTTTTTTTAGGCCGGAATGACATCTTATGTGTTCTTATAAGCTAGATTTAGTGTCGAGACGTGATTCCAGTGTCTTTGCTTCTACGAAATTCCCAGTCATGTATACATAGTAAGATGAAAGACGATATTTTATCTTTTGTTCTTTTGTTATTCATACTAGATATTGTTCCCTTTCTTTTTATCACTCTTTGATACTGCTTACGTTCATGCTTTATAGTTAGGGAAGTTCTAATACATGTAATCTATGTATTTTGTACTTTTGTATCGTCTCTACACGCTCAGTATAAATATCAAATACAAATATATACTTTCATACTTTCGATGAAGTTAGTGATACTTCTAATACTAGTCTTTGTCTTTTGTATTTTGTTTTTGTTTTTTTGTGTTTTTGTTTTTTGTTACTGTATCAACACATTCTAGTTTCCCCCTTTACGTCTCAGATTCTTTCGTCGTTTATTCAGCAGTAGCCGTCGTGCCCCCTTATCCCGCGCTCTGAGTCTTGCTTATGCAAAGAATACATTTTCCCTATTGACACTTGGTTCACTTTTTTTCTGACCTTTCTTTCGTTTTCTTCTTCTTTTTGGGGGGATCCTTTTTTTTCTTTTCGCCTTGGATTTGAAGGGTGTGGATTCTCGCTCTCTCTTTGTATCTTTGTCTGTCTTTTTTTTTTTGTATCTTTGTTTGTCTGTCTGTCCGTCTGTCTCTGTCTCTCTGTCTCTCTCTCTCTCTGTCTATCTATCTATCTATCTCTATCTATCTATCTATCTCTCTTTCTCCCTCTTCTTTTTCTTCTTCTCCTCCTTCCGTTTCCTCTTCTTCTTCAGGCAAAAGGCTAATAACATTCCTTTAATTCATCAACACCGCCCTCTGTTCATTCCCTAGCAACACCCACAAAGGCATCCCGGCTGGCCATGGCAACAACACCGAGG